TTATAACAATACCACTCACATTAAAAGTTTATGCACCGTTTTCGAGTATATACGAAAAATCTATTATAACTTAAATGTGTAAAAAATGGAAAAATGTATGCAATATTACTGTGAAACCTGGATAGCATACAGAATTTTGTGTGAGTGCGACAAGCAGGTATGACCATGTCAAAGACTAGTGTCACATTATTATACTTCTATGGTATTTTTGTTTTTCTGTGGTCTATACTGTTGAGTGTCAAATCGCATGATGCATTATGCATTCCGCTGTTGATTGCTCTTCTTAAGTGAATGTGTGCTTTTCAGTGTATTATTGCAGATTTTATCATGCTATACTTGAGCACCCAGAAATACTTTCTTTTGAAATAGGTTTGAAGGTTATGGCGGGAGCGACGCTCAGAATAACTCTCGCCACAGCCCTCGTGCTAATTTTTATTACCACTCAGAAATCCCTAAAGTAGTGAGAGGTGACAACCCCACTTACCCCTCCTCCTCCTGCCGGAGACGATAAATGTTATCATTTTGAGGTTAGGTCTATACATATATAGGAATGGTGTATTAACTTTAATGGGAATGGTGTCGGGGGTTAGGGGACACTCCTCCCTCCCCTGCCCCTTTCCTGCATAACGATTCTAAATTTAAAAAAGGTTATAATAGTTCTTTTTATATTCGGCTAATATTTCCAATATGGACCATCGATTTCAAAGCCCATATTTTTTTTGTAGATAGTACTCACTAAAAGAAAGCGTTTTGCAAAGTTTTAGGTTGCGGAAACTTACGGTTCATGAGATATATTTAACTTTTCATACAAATTGGTAAATAACACACAATTACAAAATAAATTTGACAAATGATTGATGTCAAACGCCAGTTAGTGTAGGGTTCCGAATATTTTGAAAGTATCGATACCTACTCGATACCAAGTATCGTATCAAAAGTATCAATACTACTTGGTATCAAGTACATTTCGTTAATTTTGGAGACGAAAAATTATGACAAACCAATTAGATGCATAGGAAGAGCTGAGAAGTGCAATTATATATGTATATAAAGTAGAATAAAGTTTACACTATTTAAGTTCCACCTTAGTACTTGTATTTCATTGTTTGCAACTTGTTTGTATTTCTTAATTAGTACAGCTTTTGTACTTTTATTTTATTGTTTGCAACTTTCTGTATTATCTAATTCTTACTACAATAAAGTGTTTACTTACTTATTGACTTACTTATTTAATATCCAAAAAGTACCTAAAACCGAATCAGAGCACCCCACTATCCACGTGGTCTTGTCTGCCCTACCCCTAGAGTGTATATAAGAGCCCGGAGGCGCGGAGGGAGCTGGTGCCTGTGCTTCCCTACGCTAGGGCGGAGGCACTGCTCATCCCGCAGCGCCGGAGCTGCCACGGAGCGCCGGAGCACAACTTCCCGGCTTCTTACCCCCCTAGTCTCCAAAATTAACGAAATGTACTCGATACCAAATAGTATTGATACGATACTTGGTATGGAGTACGTATCGATACTTTCAAAATATTCGGAACCCTACACTAATTGACGTTTGACATCAATCATTTGTCAAATTTATTTAGTAATTGGTGTAATTGCGTGTTATTTGCCAATTTGTATGAAAAGTTTAAAAAAATCTATCTCATGAACCGTAAGTTTCCGCAACCTAAAACTTTGCAAAACGCTTTCTTTTAGTGAGTACTATCTACAAAAAAAATATGGGCTTTGAAATCGATGGTCCATATTGGAAATATTAACCTTATATTCTCTAAACTGGTGCATTACCTTTTAATGCAAGTGGTATTGTTATAATCGGGGATCAAACCTCTACAAAATAAAACACTTAACTCCCCCAAATTTCTGTCAAATGATTCTAAATTTTAACACATTCAGGAGATGGGTTGATGACATCAAAGCAACAACTGGCAACATATGGACCAGAACAGCTGGAAATAAAGACAATTGGAAAAGGCCTTTGCCAAAGAAAGGCAAACAGACAGGATTATAGAGACAATTGGAAGCATAAGCTACTTAAATAGAAAAAAAAATATTTATGTGATGTAACTAACCTATAATATTAAACTTATTATTATTATTATTAAATATCCAAACTAACCAGTATCTATAATTGATACATCAACACAACTTGCTAAGATTTAGAAAAGATATGAATCATACATACAAGGTCGAAAGCCATCTGGTGCATGACATTGCACAAGGCAAAAATGGACAAAATGAATCCTGATAACTAATCCAAGTAAACATAAAATATGTTAACTTACATGAATACATTACTCATGGCCCTTATATAAATATTAACATTCTAGTCACTTGCACGATTTTCAGAAAGAATCATCAAAATCACATACAAAATACAAACACACAATTGAGAACCTCCTCCTTTTTTTGAAGACGGTAAAAAATATAATTTATACTTGTGATTGTTGTCAATTGGTAAAACTCCAGCTTTGTGATTTGGATAAACACTTGTATAAGTTTCACAATATTTACGTTACATTTTTATTATAAACTCACAAAAATTTTACAAAATATTTAATATTTTCAATTTCCTAATTAAAAGTGTAGGTAATATGTCTTTATTTTGTTTTGAAATTGTAAGATAAACTTTGTTTATATAATTCTGAACTTTGAATGTTTATAACAGTTACAGTCTATTTATCTCCCACAGCTCCAATGGGAGTTGGCAGACTTCACATGTTTTTATATTTTTCTGCTCAGACATGCAAGTTTTCTCACAATATTTTCTTTCACTGCATAGCACATGATAAATAATAACTCAAAATTGCAATTAACAATAACATTGGCGGGGTCAAACTGAGATGGTTAACCTACTAACAAATTTACAGAGAGAGCTTAGCCCATTATCTGCCATCACTCCTATAACACAAGGGTTTCAAGTTTAAGTTGAGAAAATAATACAAATACAGAATATATTGTACATACTTTTTAAGAACCAGAATGTGTCAAAAAAGGCACGTATGGTAATTCATAATGCTGTGTTAGTCCCTACTTTAATGTATGGTAGTGAAAGCTGGGTGTGGCAGAAGAAGCACGAATGTAGAATAAATGCTGTAGAAATGCGGTCTTTAAGGAGTATGCTAGGGTTGAATCTGAATGACAGGGTGAGAAATTGCGTGATAAGAGATAAATAAATGTGGTATGCAAGATGATGTTGTGACCAGGATTAAGAAAGGAATGCTTCGATGGTTTGGTCATGTAGAAAGAATGAATGAGGAAAGAGTGACAAAGCAAATTTATATGGCAGATGTGAACGGCCGAGTCGGGAAGGGACGCCCTAGAAAAAAGTTTATCGACCAAATTGGCGATATTTTGAAAAGGGGCCATGTTAGAAGTACCCTTAAGCGACGAGCATGATGATGATGAGCATGCATAGATATATGGATGTAAAGGAGGCGAAAGAGGTATGTCAGGATCATGCCAAATGGAAGTCCGTAGTCTCTGCCTACCCCTATCATGTGCTATGAGTGTTTATGTTATGTTATGTTTTATACTTTTTACAAATAAACCAATATTTTTTAGTCAAAATTACTTTTCCCCAAGCTTCTTTATTCAATAATTTTTTTGACAGTATAACATATAGTTTTGGAAACTAATGCAATATTATTTTAATTGCAAAGTACAATAATAATATATGTATCTTATAAAACCTTGACACAACTTGCATTTTGTACAAAACACAACATATTAAATGTAAATTTGTAATTTTCTCAAAAACCAACCATCAAGGGCTCAAATTTTATACATGTTTAGAAATTAGATCTTTCGAACTTTTCAACTTAAAATGCTAAGTTTAGGCAAACATAAAGGTGAGCTGGTGAGCCTAGAAGTATATAGTACAAAATTATCAATGTCAATAATTGGTCAAAAATATGTTTGTAGTATATTTTCCATTCAAACTAATATTATTAATGTCATAACTTGTTAAAAAAAAAAAACTAAGTCTTGCAACTTCTCATTTTTTTCTACTGTAAAATGTTGTGAGATCCCTGTAATACCAAGTCGGTTAATTTATTCAGTCCCTACTTAAGGGTCCTTCTGTCTCAAGTTATTACATAATTAGCTAACCTAAGAACATCTTATTGTGACCATATCAATATCAAAAACCTTTTATATTTTAAATAAATAGATTGACTTGGGCCATGGCATGAAAACATAATGTATGTCACAAGTAATACATATTATATTAAATTCGATTGTTTACTGCGATTGTCATCATTCACTGCAAATGTAATTTTGTAATCCTTTATGTTTATATAGGATTACAAAGTTATTTACGCAGTTTGTGTATCTAGAAAACTGGACCGAAATTGCTTTGAATTGCTGATATTTTAGTTTTTCCTTGATTTATACACTAACCACTAGCTGTATTCTAAATTTGAAATTTCTATGTCTACTAGAAGTGCCTTAGAGTTTGGATGATCGGTCAGTCAGTCAATGAGTGACAAAATTAAGAAACTTTGACTAATTATAATTCTTAAACTACAGGTTCAAATTGAATTAGATTTGAAATATACCATGTTTATACAATGCCTGCTTGGTTAGTGAAAATTCAGGCTTATAGTTTTACCACAATAAAGTTATAGGGGAGTTGAAAATGGCCTCAACTGCTTCGAGAAAAGGATACTACAGCCATGCTACTATTTTGCTCGACTTGGAGACTGCCATGCCCCCAGATTTGTACAAAAGACATTTACTATACACAAAATTTAAGATTTTACAAGTAACAAATTAATATTCGTTTATAGGACAACTGAATGTTAGTGTAACTGTGTAAGTGATTTAAAGAAAAAAATTTAAAAGATCATATCAAACTGTCAACAAACATAATGGAAAAGCAGTTAGAAGGGTAAGAAGTAAAGAAAGGAGAGGCAAAGTCGACAGTAACTTGACAATAGCTCATAACCTAGAAAACTCTAAGTCAAATAATAGAGTACAGTTATGATCGTATTAACTTACCAACGGCTGCAAATTCATCTGGTGTCCTCCCACCGGCCAACAACCACCGGCACCAATCTATTGTCTCCCATTCGTCAATAGCCTTGCTAGGGTTCAGCAGCACGTCTAAAAGTGGTCCTAAGTGCTGTGGCGACCCACTGGCACAGTCCGCATGTATATATGCAGCTGCGCCCCTTTTACCCTTTTTCATTAACACTTGAGCTGTTGAATTAGACATTATAACACACAATTCACTATCACTGCCTTCAATGCTAACACTGCACACATAAGTCACTCAATATTTCGGTCACTCACGGAAGAAACACCATTTCCAGTTTTACATAAGGCAATGAACTGCGGCCCGTAACGCATCCGCGGTCATACATGTTTCAAATGCGTCACAAACCATTCCAAATGTGAAAACAGTTTAGATCAATCAAAACAATAGTAACAATATTGAAAATTATAGAGGACAGACAAAAAATTTCTAGTTAAATTTCAACTGAAAATAATAATAGAGCAATGCAGAAACAACTCGGCCATTTTCTTGTGTTGCCACTTGCCAGCTGGTTGCCAGGCAAAGAGTATAATAATATACTCTTACTCTATACAGTAATCTATGCTCTTACTCTTTGTTATACCCCTATTCATTGTCTTATATATTCTTTGAAATCGTTGCCTTATTCATAGATAAATAAATATGTAGCAAGCTACCCCTATTACACTACCCCACAAACTAATAAGAGTACTAAAGTACGGCCGCTGAGTTATTACCGATTTGACAGATTATTTTTAAATTAATCGATATAACCTTGCACGAGCGACACATTTGCCGAATGATTTAGAATACCTCTTTAATATAAAACTTTATGTCAAAATGTCAGAATCAAGTAATTTTCCAATAAACTCTGTTTCAAAACTTAAAATAGTTTGTAAATAATATGAAAACATTTATTTTTTTGTTCTTTGGCGCGCTTGTACAAAGTTACATCGTGCGTCTAGTTTTCATAGTGATGTGCTTGATAGTATTCGGTCCGAATTCATTGGAATAGATATGATATTTATTTTATTTGGATATTTTTATTTTACTTATTCCTTCGAGCAACTAGACTATAATGCTACCATTTTTTTGCGTCTCCTAATTGCACTGTGTTGCCAGTATCTCTATGATTTTTAAGATTTATGTGTGATACAAAGACAGAAATACTGTTTTCTATGATTTAAAAATAAATACAATTAAAATGATCATGTATAATTTTTAACATTCATTATATATAAAACAACATTTAATAAATATAATTTTCTCCCTCAATTAAGCAATGTTATAGGTGTATTTTTTTAAGTAATTGGCGATACTATTCTGGCAACACCCTTACCACCGCTATTTTAATCTGTTTAGTCGTCTTCCGTACTCTCGTGCGCACAGACTACGTTCTCTTGTGTAACCGGGTTTTTTTTTGCGCTTTATTGGACTAATTTTGTTTGTGTTTGGTAATTTTGTTGAAAATTCCGAAACGAGGAAAAACATTGAATAGTCAATGTCGTGAGCTGGTACTAAAGCTACAGAATTACTTTGAGCGTGAGTCACAAAATGGTAAAACGTACCCTTATTCAGGCTCCCTACGCCCCGTAGACAGAGAAAACTATAGACTAATGATTAGCGTGGCCTCGAGTGAGAAAGGACGATAACGTAGTTTTAGGTTATACAATAATCTTTATGACTTTTAAACATATTTAGATAAAATTTTTAAGTGTTCTAAGAACTGAACTAAACAAGATTCACCAATTTTAAACTCACAAAACACTTTTTTCTCACTTAAACCAACTTGTAAACTCCTTAGATCGCTACGAACTATCAAAGTTGTTTAGCAAAGTGTAGTTTGCTAAACAAAAAAACCGGCACGGAGAAAGGGACAAACAATCACACCGCTCTGTCTCATTTCTATGCAAGATGTATGCATAAATCTATCTTTTTCGTGTGCAAGAAGGCGTCAATTTATCTACAGGTTTCTCTGTCTACGCTACGCCCTGATTCAGGGTGGTGTAGTTAGAGAAAGGGAGTAAGGGTTCCTAATTAGGGCGTCAAAGTGGACCCGGTCTGCTGTGCCCTTCCACCGTGCAGTAATAACTACGTTATATTTCATAAAAGATAACTTGATCTCTGCGACAGCTGTCAGTAAAAATCACGCCTATGAAGTCCTGAATTTCTTAGTAGTACAGAGTATAGACAGTACCTGTCAATGTCATACTTTATGGGCATGCTGACCTAATTAGTGCATGCCCATAAAGTATGATATTGACAGGTACTGTCTGTACGTTGTCTGTCCTACTAAGAAATTCAGAACTTGATAGAAGTGATTTTTACTGACAGCTGTCGCAGAGATCAAGCTATCTTTTATGAACTATAGTACAAGGGCACTTACTCGATGCGCGACTAGGGATGAAAACGATACATCAATTCTTTCAAACATAGATATAAGGTTCATAAACACGGTTCTTCATGAGCTATGTTTTATAAACGATGTTATGCCGTCAAAAGTTACGAAGTAACCAACTATTCGATGGTATAAAATTCCGTATGTTAAAAGTTGCGAACGATGATTATCACGAATTTTATGCTCCCAAAAAATAAATATTCGAAACAAAATATGTCAAAGTTACATTACGTTTAAATTTTTAAAATTAGAACGTTTATCAGAAATAACTCAATCCCGAAAATTTTAATTACGAATCAACAAACAGGCGAATGGTCTTTCAGCCGAAAATAAATACACAGGAGCTTCAGAAGTACAATTGCTTTAATTTTATTTTCGATGTATGCTTGTAGTTATTTTTATTATGATAATTAATTAAGTTTACAAATATTGAAAATGGATTGAAAATGTTTTATTCATTTTCTTATTAATAATTATATTGTTTGAGCTTTAACTTAATGAATAGCTTAATTACAGTCTCATAAGTTAATAGTTATTTTGTAATGGAAATTATTTTATCGGCTTACGGTACTTCGTATTTCGTTACAATCATTTTTCTGAAATATTAATTTTATGAATGAACGGTTATTCCCTTGTTTGTATTTCAGAATAGTTTCGTAGATGTATTCAGAAAATGCAATAATAGGTAGGAGGTACATACGGAACTACCGTAAAAAATTAACGCAACACATCATAAGAAATAAAATTAAAGCAGAAGACGAGTTTCATATACTACATATGGGATAACATGAAAGAGTTATTTCCCCGACTTCAAAGCCTAGATAAGATATATTTGCCTATCGTGGCAACTTCTGTATCCCGTGAGCGGTTATTTTCAAACGCTGGATCTACAATCACTTAGGAGAGAAACCACTTACTAGGCATCAGGTTGTCAAAATTGTTATTTTAAAATTCAATTCGAAAGAAATAAACGTAAAAAAAAATATTTAATTAATTCTTGTTTTCTAATAATTATTCGATAAAATTAAATGTGTAAAAATAAACACTGTTAAACTTTCTAAAATAACATAAATATAATGTTTGATTATTATACTTCTTTGTTTCATTTCTGTTCAAAATGATTATTTATTCCTTATGTATGTATGTATATATTTAAATGATGATAAAAACATCGAAAAAATCGATATATCGTACATAAGCTTTGATGTTTTTAATGAGCGATGTTGCATCCTATAGATGTGCTTATTTGGAAAAATTGCGACTCGAGTTAACTCAAGTTCAAATTCACATAACTCGAACTAAACTCGAGTTACAAAACTAGAGTTAGCAGGACTAAACCCATTTGTTACAATTACTTTAAAAATATCGATTCAATAAATGGATATACTTTTTTCACTTGTCCATTCCTATGAATGAGTCAGGGCGTAAAATAAAACCAATTTTTTTATTCACTGGCTTTACGGCTCTGGGTTCTAGCCTTTCTGATGCCATAATTTCTTTCGGAATATTCATTTTATATTCTTTTTCTTCACAATATGCTGATGCGTCACATTGCAAAGCTCTTGGGAGATTTTGACGACAGCCCAACCCAGCGGACAGTTGATGACGACAGCCACTCAAGTTCATAAGGCGCCCAAGCAATCAAAATAACTTGAGGTTTATATCGATATCAAAGCACTTGTTTCGCCGTTTTCTCTAATAGTTCACAGGCGCGGACACTTAATTCATAATATCGCATCACTTTTACGAATCAAAATCCACTTCAAACCATTATTTAAGTGACAAAACAGGAGCAACAATCCGTCTACGGCCAAGTTCCCGCCAAAGAGCTCAGTTTGTGGTACGTTAGTACTCTTATCCTGTACGCTCTGACAGCGCGCGACATGTTATACTCCCGTTCGCTCGGGACCTTAATGGTGGGAAAATTTGTAAGTTAGAAAATTTTTTGCTATATTGCAAATTTTGCTATATTTTCACATTGAGACAATATTTATGCATAAAACTTACAGGATTTCTTGTTGAATGTACAAACTATTTTTGGTTGCTAGAAATTGTAATAAAATACATAAATTACCCTGTATAGCATGGTAGTAGTATATACTTCAATTTTAGTGACAAAATTACAACTAATTTGAATTCTACACTTTTGTTTTTGGAGAAATTTATATGAAAATGTTTGGAAATATGTATATTTTTATGTTTTATGTGTTTCTATTCGTTACTCATACCAAAATATTAAAATATTAAAAAATTAAAAAAAAAATATTTTATCTGTATGATATTTCGAACAATATTTCAAAAATAGTTTTGTGTGAATTTGAAATAAATACAATGTCAAGTTATTTGAAATATGTAAGAAAACTATTTTTACTTACATTTTACACTAAAAATAAATGAGGATTTGAAAAATAACACATTTATGACCCAACCGCCAAAATGGGCCTTCCGGATTTTGAAGTACTTTTGGCAATTTTTTTGCTGCAATAAGAGATCTGCCACATCACTTTCATATGTAAGTAATTCTTAATAATAATAGTACTACTTGTTTCCTTTTAATATTAAATATTACAATAATAACGGTCTATACTTCTCATGGTAACGGTCGTGTTGTTTCGGATTTGTTTACCAAGACAGGCCGCTCGCACTCATGCAATATGAGGTTTTATCGAGTGACTGATCAGAGTCTGTATCCGAGTTGCCGCTGTCACCGAGTGTCAATTTTGATATACTGATTTGTAAATTGTTATCGATAAGAATGACAAATGGCAAATACGGTCTATACAGGTGGTCTATGGAGGCCCAA